ATATAATTTTCGTCATAAAAATGAGAAATAATCTCAAAATAATGATTTAGGATATCAAAATAAATATGAAAATGATTCAGTATTAAGGTAGAATATGTAAATGGGAGGTTTCTGTAAGACTGGGCAACATGACAAACAAGTCCAAATCCACATAACACTGGCTAGGTGTAGTTCATAATCTTATTTATCCATTTATTTTATATCTGCATATGAGGATTATACTCTTGTGATATTTATGAAAATGCAATGATAGAAGCCTCCTATGCAAAGTGTCTGTCCATCCAAAGCAGATCCCTGTTGTCATGTTAACAGATAACTGATTGACTCTTCTTTAACCCTCATCAAGCTCACTTAGATCCTCACATGTGTTTTTCTCTGACTTCGATCAAAACCAAGTCCTTTAAGTCAGAATATAGCGAGACAAATCATAAACACAAACAACCTTTTTGTCTTGATGATTTTTGCAATGCATTCAAAATGGTGTGTCTAAATCAGTGCAAATTAAAGAAGATTTCATGTGATTTGGAGTTGAGTGACCGGGGTCTGTGCTGATCCATCTTTAGATGATCTTAGAAGATAACATTTAGACTTGTGGCCTAAATATCAATGCTGCACTTTTCTACAATAACTAACATGTAAAGCGTTGTATGGAATTATTTATGGCCAGAAACAAGTGATAGGGTGAGTATTTTAACTTAAATATATCACTATGAAACTTCATCTTCACTCGTCAACTTAATTCCTCCAACTTGCAGTAGATGAATGAATGATTTTTGAAATCATTTAGTCAGAGTCCAGTTTGTTTATAGCAATGATCGGTAATGTAAAGTGTGATGTAAAAAACCAATGATATATTATACAACACAATATAAAAAAGCAAACACATAGTGAGAAATACATTTATTGAAATAATGTGTTTTCCAAATGATTATCGGTGGTGTGATTATGTGTATTTAGAGCCTGTTCTCTTAAGGTTCTCCTGGCTTACATAAATAGCTCAGAAGTTTAGAGTAGACAAGTTTGATCAGAGCTCATTCTGCAGTGTATCCCTCTTTCCACTAGATGGCGATGCTGCCCACATCATGGGCTCTGTAGTCCAAGGGGAACAGAGACAATAGAGGTTTCTCAATACTCAAATTTCCCCTCTTCGACTCCTATTCTCGACTCCTATCCTCGAGACTTGGTGCCGCCCACAGGAGATGCGAACGAAGGACTGAGGAGGGGAAGCAGCAGGCGGTTAGAGAAATGAGAACTCCTCTCCTCTGAGAGGTCATTTTAAAGAGACGTCCATTAATGATGACAGGGGGCACAGCAGCCCTCTGTCTGATGGTAGATGTGTTCATGACGACTTAGGGTCCTTCTCACTTCGGTTAAATGGATTCCTTGCGTCCCTCAATTGCGTCGTTTCCCTGTGACTAGTCCCTCCCACCAGGGAAGCATGGAGAGACGCAAGGAAACCACGAGAAGCAGGGAAATGAGTTTTAAGAGCAATGGGACGTCCTTTCCTCCGGAGCGTCACGTGAAGCGACGTCCGTTTGTGATGACGCTGCACAGCTGATCGTCTGACAGCAGCCAGCTCTGTCCCCGTTATTTTCACAAACACCCCCGCCTCTGTTAGTACACATTTACTGACACACACATTTGTATCATCTGTTGTAGACCCAAATAAATACAATTAAATAAGAACTCATTCTCAAAAAAGACAAACGCCATTCTTAAAATGTATAAACGAACATTAGTTGGATTAATATTGATTAGAGTGCACAATAGAAATAAAGTAATTGAGAGAAGAAAAAGAGATATGTTATCTATCAAAACCCAGTTAGATTAACATTCATTGGATTGCACACTTTGTTTGTTTGTTTGGATATGTAGCAAATTAACATTTTAATAGCACTTAATGACTGACTGAATGGAAATGGAGGCGTGTGGCACAGTGGATAGAGCCTTGGTGTTGGGGTCAGGGGGTCACAGGTTAAAACCCCACTGCAGTCAGCATGTCGTTGTGTCCCTGGTAGGGCTGTCAAGTTAACGCGTTAATAACGCGTTAACGCAAAAAAAAATTAACGCCACTAATTATTTTAACGCGATTAACGCCTGTGTATTTTTTTCCCTCAGCCGCCCCGTAGTTTCAGAGCGCATCGAGTTTAAAATACCATCTACAAGCTGATGCTGACAGCCCCGCTCCTGCCGCCCGCTTGTGGCAGACCACACTTCCAGGCTCACCGGCAGGCACCGACTGGCTGTTGGGAGGACCGGGAGGGTGTGTGTATGTGTGGCCCGAGCGAGCGAGAGAGAGACCTTACGTGCATTGTTGTTGTTAGCATCTGGTGCTAGCTAGCTGCGCTAACGGATATGGAGCTGTTTAAATGAAAACAGAGGAGCGACATTTCGCCACAACTGCGCAGAGCACTTGACTTTATGCAGGAAGCCAGACAGTGGGACATTGTACGAAAAGTCAGCACACTCAGCACGGATAGTGCGCAACATGATTGCAGCGTCCAGGCAGCTCCCGTTCGAGCATATGCCTTGAGTTGCACATAGCTCCAACGATCACACACACACACTCACACACGCACACGCGCGCGCGCACACACACACACACACACACACACACCATTTGTATTGTATTATTGTATGAGAGAGGTTCCAGGTTGAATTGAGGCGAATATTTGTAATGTTCAGAGGTTGTTGTGTTTAATATTCATGAGAATATTTGTCATTGTTCAAATGATAATAAACATTAGCATAAAGCATATTTGTCCACTCATATGTTGATAAGAGTATTAAAAACTTGAAAAATATTCCTCTAAGGTACATTTAGAACAGATAAAAAATGTGCGATTAATCGCGATTAACTATGGACAATCATGCGATTAATCGCGATTAAATATTTTAATCGACTGACAGCCCTAGTCCCTGGGCAAGACACTTCACCCCAAATTGCTCCTGTGGGGATTGCCCACAGTATTGAGTATGGAAGTCGCTTTGGATAAAACCGTCTAACAAGTGACATGTAATGTAAAATGTAAAACGAAAAAAGCGATCATGAAAATATTTCCAAAAAATGAATAAAATGATTTTTGACCACTTTGTTGTTCAGATATATCACATATTTGTAACTAAATGATACATGAATTGAAGCAAAACACGGTATAAACTGAGGAGTGACTCTCGTGAGGTTCATGTATTTTCTCACTCCGCTGGGAAACTGCTCTCATGTCAAGAAGCATCAGATCAGTGCATGCGCTGCATCGTCCAATCAGTGAGCGATACACAGTAAGGGGGCGGGGCGAGTGTCTGAGGATTTAATCGAAGGATGGTCTGGTGGTTCCTCGGTTATAGCTCCTCCATTATCGCTCCTCGCTCCTCGGTCCTCCGGCAAAAATAAGGCCATTGGGGCGCAGACAAATCAACTTCCGGTGAGACCGAGACCGAGACCGAGGAGCGAGGAAATGAAAAATAAGAGAAGTGAGAAGGGCCCAGTGTCGGGTTACAGACGTGCTCCACTTGTCACCTCTCACTCTCGCGTGTCAGCGGGGGGGTGCTTGGAGAACTGCGCACAGCAGCTGAGGCCCTCTGGGCGGGGCCCCCTGCTCAAGGCGGAGCCCCATGCAGCCTGCGTGATTGGCCTGTAGGGAGGGGCGGCCCTGTGTATACTTGTGCTTTACTAAACAACTCTTTGGAAAAGAAGCGGAGAACAAATTACCAGAGTGTAGGAGTACTCTGTTACAAGTAAAAGTCCTATTCAAAATGTTACTCAAGTTAAAGTACAAAAGTATTAGCATCAACTTATAAAGTACCAAAAGTAAAAGTACTCATTATGCAGATTGGCCCATTTCAGAATTATATATTTTCTTTTAATTATTGCATTAATGTGGTTATCAAAGCTATATGTTTAAAAAATGTCATCTGAACCACAGTAATTTTAAAAACGTGAAGTTCTTTTTTTCTTTTCTTCTTGTTTTGCACATAAAGTGTAAGCTGATGTCCAATAATAATAATAAAAAAATCCATATATTACCTTATTATTCATTTATATTATCATCAAACTGTAAAATATAGTTATTTATGCTCTACTATACAGCTCATTAAATACTACTCAGGGTAATATATTAAATCGCAAGTGATAATTTATAATATGCTGTATTTTAAAAGAACAATTAATACATGGTTATTACTGTGACACCACAGCATACATACATATACAATATCAGGTTGCTCATATGATATTTAATACTGCCAAAAAAACGATTGACCCAATCAGTATAAGGAATATCCAAACATCTACATTGTATACAGTGGTTAACCAGAATTCACAAGATACTTAAGATTCTGCACTCAAGTATTAAAATGTACATTAGATTTTAACAGAAAAATACCCATTAGCCTGTTTAGGTAAAAGGGCCTGTTTCAGAGTAATATTATAGATATACTTTAGGCTTTGTTCTTTCATTATAACTAGTGCATTAGCATTTACACAGCATTTTAAGGTAAATTGGCCATGAGATGATATATTTGAAATTGTTATTATTGTGTTTTTGTTCCTTGGCCTTTTTTATTTGTAATATCTTAGTTTGGGAATTGTTCTTTTGTATATTTAAAAATAATATTGATTTATTTTTGTAGGTATAGTCCTACAGCCATGTATTATTTCAGTATTAGTTGGTTTCCTTCGACAAGTCATCATGTTTTTATATGTCATTGTACATTTCTTCTGTCTGGTTTTATTTGATCCAATGCATAATACAATATAACACTAAAGCAAAGCTAAAAAGCCACAATACTGTAGGCCTACATACATGTGCCTCATGCTCAGCATAATGACCATTTGTCCAATTAAAAACATTTTTTAAACGGGCTGTGAAATTGTTAGGATATAATAACATGAGTTTAAAGACAATGTCGTTTTACTTAGACGGTATTACAACTTTATTTTTCATTTGTTCACCTCCATCCCAGCTGTGCGGAAGTGACACAGCAGGCGCGCGCCCCGTCACGTCACGCGAGAAAGCAGAGAAGCAGAGCGAGACAAAAAAACATCAACAACACTCCGCAGCAGATCTAGCTCGCGGCAGTGCGCAGACATGTCCGATACGTCGTTAAAATCCCTAAAGGACTGCATGGACTCGTGAAGGTGAGCTCGAACCAACGGTCACGCGCCTTTACCGTTAATGTAACAAGAGTCGTAGCAGGAGGGGGAGTGTGTGGAGGGGAGGGGGGGAGGTCCACGCAAACATTGCCGCGTCATTAAAAAAATCCCATATAAATGTTACACTACTAAATAAACCCCGTGCATATGTGTTCACAATGGCAGCCTGTTGTTGTTGTTATAACGAGATGTTGGTGACGGTGTTTCTAAAGAGTCCCCTCGCACAGCTGATATGTCTTGTGTTTTGGTTCAAGGGTTCATGGGCGGAGGAATGAGGAAGTAACCTTAGCGTACTAATAAAGGCTGGAGGAGAGCTAGAATGAAACTCAGAAAGCATGCACAGCGAAATCAATAATCTACCTAGTTTACGTTAGTCCAAACAAATTGTTGTCATCACGTTAGATGATATCAGTGTAACCTTGCAGCACGCACGCTTTACCAGCATACAAGTGCATGTGTTTTGGCTGCAGCTTGTCACATGTCATAACGGTAGCATAGAAGCTACCACATGTTATGATTTGTAATATGTTCATAATACACACATTTTAAACGTGTTATTTTTTAGCAAAACTCGTTAGTGATCCTGTATTATAATGTATTCTCGCTTGTTGGAATTAAGGTGAGTTTTCGATATTTTTGTCAGCTAGGGCTATAACTAACTTAATTTCAATATCAGTTCATATACCACATTCTTATATATGAGGGATTTTGTCTATCAAATGTTATCAAATAGTGAAAAACTCCCATCTTAAGATCACAGAATCAGTTGTGATGATTTCAGATGTCTTATTTTGTCAGTCCGTATACCAATGGCAATCATTTTACAATCAAAGAAGAAATCAAAAATGTATTAGAAAATAATTAAGTGGTGAATTTTTACTTTAACATACTTTATAAAATGCGTTTTCAGTTTCTTTTTTTATCAAAGACTCAATTATCGTCTAATTGTTACAGCTCTTCAGTAACCTTATGTTATAGATGTACATATTTCCATTGACTTGATGTTTGTATTTACCTTCTAGGCTATGAATTCCTCTGGGCATGGAGACGTTTCAGATGAAGAGATGCTTGAGAAAGGTATCTAATGCAATCTGTACCTGCAAAGGTTTACTGTTTAGTATAGCAACCCATTTGTTATCAAGTTCAAAAATACATTAATATTCACATGCTAGAATGTCCAGATAAGATGTAGGTCAATTTCCTCATTAGAAGACACAAAACAATATCAAAGTGGCTAAAAAAGGACTGATCACATGAAGTCTGCTCATCTAACAAGATATTATGTACGCATCTATATCATTATCAATAACACTTGTGTCTTTATGTGTCGGCCAGAAATCAAATATTTAAACTAAGTGGTCTCGTGATTTACAGAACAAAAGCATGACCAGGATGTTAAGGAGGAATCAGACGACTTGGCTATTTGTGCGTCCCCTGAAGGGCTTAGAGGAGGACCTCCTGGAGCCACTGAGGCTGCTAAACGTCCCTCTGCAGAGACGGGCCCTCACACAAACCAGCCCACCAGCAGCAAGAGAGCCAGGGTCTCTAGCGAGGTAAATCTCAGACCCTTTTATCTATAAAAGTACACAGCACAGACAATATGCATATGCACTTGTTTTAAAGGTCAAAGTTGTCATGTGTTTGAAATGTCATCTCCTCTGTCTAGATGAGGCGGTACTTGCTGGATGACAGCAGCAGCAGACATGAGCCTCTTTGCCTCACCACAACTGGCGAGAGGGGGGGTTACATCCAGCAGAAACCCAGAGTGTCCTACAGAAAGCCTCTCTTCAGCATCTCCCACAGGATCTCAGAGAAGAGGACCACACCAAGTCTGGAGCAGCAGGCCAGCATCCTCTCGTCAAAGCTCAGAAGTTCGGAGGAAAATGGCCCATTGGATTCTCTGCCCACCATAGACGCTTTAGGGCAACCTCCGTCAACGGACTCCAGTCTTTATCCTCTCATTGAGAAAATGTTTCTCATTCTCAACACCCTCAATTCAAGCATGACACAACTGCATAGCAAAGTGGACGTGTTGACGCTTGAGGTGATGCGAATAAAGAAGCAGATCAAGCCAACTGAGATGGTGACGGAGTTCCAGCCTCCTCCTGAATACCTGCTAACAAGTGATGAACTGAACCAGCTGATGGAGCAGACCTCCAGCGCCGGGGAGCTCGGGTGTCGGCTGCTGGTGCATCTCTTCCCTGAGCTGTTCAAAGCCAGGGAGTGCTCTCACGAGTGCATGGCCAGCAAGAGAACACTTGAGTCTCTACATCTGCAGCTGATCCGCAACTATGTTGAGGTGTGCTACCCTTCAATCAAGAACAACAGCGTCTGGCAGGAAGAATGCCTCCTACAGATTAATGACTTGTTTAACCGCTTCTGGGCACAGAGGGACATGGAGAGTGCTCGGCTGCTCCGGAAGCAGACAATCACGGCCGCCGGGATAAAGCCTGAGCGCCCTCAAAACTATCGTTTCATTAATGAGCAGGGCCGGGAGGAGCACATTTCTTTAGATAACCAGCAAAGCAGCGAGGGTGTGGCAGACCTTGCTTTCAATATCCAAGCCACGGAGGAGCTGGACGAGTTCTCCTCACCTGAGGACTTTGTTATTTTCCTTATGCACCGTCTCTTCCCTGAGGTTTTCGAAGAGGGGAAAATGCCAGAAGGCTCCAGCAGTTTCAGTAGTGCGGGGCAGCTAATTCTGGACTCTGACAAGATGGAAATAATAAGAAAGTACATGGAAGCTAATTTCCCAGATGTGCCTGAGGACAGCTGGCTTCAGGTGTGCATTCAGCACATGGAGGATGCACTGGAGGGTCCTCACAGTATTGGGGATGGGAGCGAACCTGACAATAACAATGATGAGGGCTATGACCTGGCCAGTCTTCCAGAAGATGTGTCTATAATTCGGGTTTCAGAGGCGGGTGATGGTGAAAGGCCTTGCCGCAAAGCCAAAAAGTCGCTGCTTTCACCTGTGGATTTTGACAATCTGGAGATTCCTCTTCCTGACTTTACCGTCCACCAGGAACACCTCCTGTCCAGGGAGCAGCTGAAAAACAACTATGAATGTAGCCTGTCCATCGGGAACTTTGCCTCTCGGCTGCTGGTGCTCATGTTCCCCGAGCTCTTCACCCACGAGAACACCAGGAAGCAGTACAACTGCAGCGGTTCTCTTGGTAAAAAACAGCTGGACCCCGTTCGTGTGAACTTGATCCGTCATTATGTGCAATTAGTCTACTGTCGGGCCAAGAACGACAGAGTGTGGATGTTGGAATTTGTGGGCAAGCTCGATGAGAGGTGCAGGAGACGCGACACGGAGCAGAGAAGGTCCTACCTGCAGCAACGCAAAGTCTACGGTCAAGACTCGGATCAGGACTTTCTTTGCCAGCTGAACCAGCTCAATCAAGACAGCATGAGGGAGGATTCAGACGTTCCTTCTTTACCTCCTGAGAAAAGTAGCAAAGACTTTTGTAAAATACCCCTGGACGAACTGACTGTATCCAAGCCCGACTTCCCCTGTACCTTCTGTCTACCTGCTCTCGGACACTGAGGTACGGGAAGTCGTCCAGCAGAGCCTCTCTGTTGGGAACTTCGCTGCCCGCCTTTTGGTGCGCCTCTTCCCTGAGCTCTTCACTCAGGAGAACCTCCGGCTGCAGTACAACCATTCAGGGGCCTGCAACAAGAAGCAGCTGGACCCCGTGCGCCTCCGACTGATCCGTCACTACGTGGAGGCAGTGTATCCTGTGGATAAGATGGAGGAGGTGTGGCACTATGAATGTGTGCCAAGCATCGACGAACGCTGCCGGCGCCCCAATCGCAAGAAGTGTGACATTCTTAAGAAGGCCAAGAGGTCAAGCACTGTGTCCTAGTTACTTTTCACTTAGGCAACACCTGTTGGAATAAAAATAATTGCACAGTATATAAGCTGAAACCGCATCTTTGAACTTTTCAAACAGTCCTATGAAGGATGAAGCCAATCTGTTAGGATTTATTTCAGTACTTTTCAGTCATATTTTACCTTTTGTCTACAGCAGTAGTTTATGTAATCATATTAATGTTGGATAAATAGATTAAATGCTTCTATTTATAAGCCAAAACTGTCATAGCTTCTCTAACATACTTTGTTGAACAATGTTGTAGCCTTAACAATAACAATGATAGTAGCATATAGCATAGCTCACACTATGGATATAAATGAATCACAATGAAGTGATACATTTCCGTTGCAGTTACTGATGTAGCATTGTGCCATCACGGTTTTAATAACAATGTGCTTATGTTAAGCCTTCTTATAGAAGTTTATATTATAAAGACAATTAACATGACGGTGGATCATGGTAACTATTTCTAATAAAGTCACAGCTATAACATGACATTTGATTGCACTGTTTTACACAAAGGAACTGTGAGGTTCTTAGTGACATACAGAGTTTTTACCGAACACTCTCCAACAAGCTCTATACTACGCAACATATATATTGCTTCTACAGGTTTTATTTACCATTTCATATTTTTGCCTCAATAAAAAAAATTGCTATGAGGAATTGCGAAAAGGATATCAGTAGCCAAACCTTCCAAAACGCTAACAACTCTGATGAATATTCATTCATTTGCTCTCAGTTAGACATGATCTCAAAGTGTCAAAGTGCACCTTTATTGGAGGACTCTCACAGTATAGAAGGGAAGGTAAACACTAAATATATTTCTCTGAGAAAACTGTTTACATGTCTACACCCGCTACAAGCCTTAACATTACACTTTAGTAATCCATTAGAGATCCAACTTTTTGGAGATTGCCGGCATTCAGTTCTGCCGGTGTTGTTGCCTTCATTAGCAAATGGTATTAAAGTCCACACTGTCCTGTTCAAGTTCATGGCTTGAAGGCCTCCTCTTTGGGAAGCTCTAAACATTTCCATCGTCGTATGGCAACTTTGTACTTTTCTGTGTGACTCATTTCTTCCAAAACCCTCCGAAGGCAGACTCTCATCAGAGTGACAGTGTTTGTTTCTCCGTTCTCCGACAGTACCAGGTCCAATGTGTCCCCAACTTTTACCTAAACAAATCAAATATATAGGAGCAATTAGAAATAAGATTGAGACACTAGTGGAAAACTAAGAAATGAGAGTAGGAGTATGTTGTTCGTTACTCACCGTTTTACTTTTCTTGATGAGTTTTTGTCCATTTAGCCTGAGTTTGTTGTCATAGAAGGACACCTCAATTTTACTGGAATAGGAGAACAGACAGTTAGTCTATACATCGACTGCTATAGTATGAGAACAAATCTGAAGACATCTCAAAATGGGTCAAACCATTTGGCTGATAAATCATTCTAATAAATAAGTATAGTAATAAGTAGTGAGATATGAAGATGGGATGAAATGGTTGTATCTCAGAAGTTACAAGGAAGTTCAAGTATTGGGCATCTTATCCAATAACTAATAGTACAGTATTATATGTTGTGTCAGAAAAGTTGACAGTATGCCCTTGTGATCTATACATTTAAAAACGTTACTGTTTCATACTTTCCAAAGTACGTCTGTAACATATTTCCAGAATTTAGACCAGGGTTGTCCAACTGCGGCCCATTTTTGATTGGCCCTCAGCCAATTCAAAAAGTCTACTTTTCCTATGTTTGACTTCTTAAATATATATCGAACATATATTACACCGTAGTATTCATGTGTTAATAAGCCCATTTTCAAATCAATTCAGTCAATTTAAGTTGAAACATTTTCTTTCCAAATCTTAGTTGGTCAAAAATAATCCCAATAACTCATCTGCATAACAAGCTTGAAATATACCCTTTCTATTTCCCCTTATAATAAGCAATCTGAGGCTCCTGGTATAAGGAATGAGCTGCCAACACTTATGTAACAAAATTAATGAAAACTTTTAAATGTTTTTCTGAATGTGGCCTTCAGTGAAAACATTTGGACACCCCTGATTTAGACCATGAATCTTCCACAGAGTAACTGCATCGGGGGCTGTCAAATCATAGTTTAATAATGTTTTGAAAGTTTGTGTTTATTTTTCAAAGATTAAAACATGTCTGCATGAAGAAACTCACTTGCGTGCCATGTCCAGGCCGGCTTTCATGATGACGTCATAGCGAAAGGACTGCACGTGTTTCTCAATGTCTTTATAGTCCTTTGGTAGATTCTCCTCCACCTCTTCTTCGTAATCACTGTCCTCTGGGTCTTTTTTATCTTCCTCCTCATCTTCCTCCTCCTCGTCCTCTTTCACTGTCTTAGCCTCACTTTTCTTCTTGTTGCTTTTAAACCTTAGAGGATTGACGGACCATCCCCTGACGGCGTCTCGGCCCCGGAGAGCAGGCCTGCTGTGACAGCCGAGTGCGGGGAAGGCCGAGCAGCCCCACAGCTGCCGTGTGTGGATGGTCCTCGGACACCATTCAGCCTGCCTCAGTCCATAGCCAGCAGCCAGCAGGTGGCGGGGGTTCAGCCTTCCTAGCTGCCTCATGGCGAGTGCCTGCACCACCAAACTCTGCATGTTAGTACTCCACCCAGTCACTAGAAAAACAAAGATGGTTAGGAAGCATTGTGATAAATAACAGCTAATAATACATCTCGTTCATACAAATTCAGGTACAGAAAGCCAGCCATATTTGTATCACACAATTATGCATTTAGTATCAAGACTTTTTAATAACTAAATGAGCTATTGCCCTCAAATATGTATCTGTTGAATCTCCTCTTAAAATAATGTGTCAACTGTTGTTTACAATGTCAAAAGTTAAATATAAGGATGCATATTATATACTTGCTATGCAATAATGTCCTATTTCAATGTATCATTTCAATATTCAGGGAAAAAAGGGGTTGTTTTATTAGATAAATGTGAAATATTCTCTTTTCTATGCTAATGTACCTATGTAGAGTTATTCCCCTTCAAAGTAAAAGCCTCATTTTATTTCTAACCCCAGTTTTGTAATATATAATAATAATTTAAATGTAAGACTGTTACATCAAGTATTCTGTTAAACACCAATAGCACAATGGGCACACATTTGGGTTTAACTATTTGTGTTAAAGTTGCGTTTATTGATTTACCGGAAGTAATATTTTTCTTGTCCACTTGACAGCAGTCGAAAACAAACATTTATTGAAAGTAGCGCTATACCTGTTGAGCAATGTTATATCTTTATCTTTTAATAAAATGCTGTTAATGTACCTTTATGCGGAGGTTGTCTCTGCTTGGTGGAGCTTGACATGTTTCACGGTGAAGCTGAAGGAGAAACTGCTAGCTAACGTTAGCTCAACTTCTCTTCAGTGAGCACGTGCACTCATTTATATCCTTCCATGTGCAACAATCCACGAGCCGGTAACCAAAAGACAGTATAGCCTGTTTACCTTGGTGCTAAATGTCACATTTGAAGCTGCTAACACGCAATAAATAAACGGTATAGTCCACTCACCGATGAATAACCTTCTTCTTCTTCTTCTTCTTCTTCTTCTTCTTCTTCTTCTTCTTCTTCTTCTTCTTTGGATTCTACAGAGATTACAATGGCGTACTGCTGCCCTCTAACGTTACTGCTTGGTACATTTTCATCAGAATACTTCTGGAATACTGCAGTCCTCCAAACACTACAGCCTCATCCCAATACCCCTCCTCAACTCCTCCTTTCCCTCATTCGCGTCCCTTCCTTGCATCTTAGCTCCGCCTCCGTAAAATGCGAGCGAGGGACACGAGAGCCTCATCCCAATACCCCTCCTCGACTCCTCTCTTCCCCTCCTCCGGGACTTGACCCGGAAATCGATCAAGACACGCCATGTTGAAGGACGTCCCAATAGCTGAAATGCACTCGGAGGAGTCGAGGAGGGGTGCGGGAGGAGACGAAAGGGAGGATACACGCGAGCGCGTATAAAAGCCCCGCCCCCACCTTCACAGCTGGTCGATTTCAACAGAGGAAAACCGACAACTGGAAGATGAGTGGAAAAGCGTCACAAGTGCTATAAGTGCTCACAGCTCCGTGGGAATTATTATGTGCAATTCATTTCTAAAAGGCTTTCACATTACTATAATTACATATTTATTTAAATGTAGGCTACATTTACACCAAAACGGAACACAAAAGCAGGACCAACCATCATACATTGAATTCCTTGACTAACAAAAGAAAGATTCATTCATTTAAATAAATATTTAACAACAAATGGGCCGGTTCTAAGGGGTTATTCAGTTAAGCCCGATGAGAGGGGATACAGCTGTGCACATGTCATCATTAACAGACGTCGTTTAAGAGTGACGTTTGAGTGAACGAGGCCATCCCAATTAATACCTGAGGACTCCTCTGTCCTCGCGTCACCTCCTCGTGTCTCTCGCTCGCATTTTACGGAGGCGGAGCTAAGACGCAAGGAAGGGAAGCGAGTGAGGGAAAGGAGGAGTCGAGGAGGGGTTTTGGGATGTGGCTTGATTGTGTTCTCAGCAGGGGACTTTGACAGAGTATTCCTCAAAAAATACATAGTAAAAGTACTTCAATGTATTGTTAGTAGGCTAACTAATACAAAGTCAAACATTATCAATTTCATTAAGAACTAATGGTAAAATTATATTTGTATGATTCATCAAAGATAGCAGAAAAACATGCATTATGTATATGGAGGGGACTGATAGAGGATTACTCACAAAGTAGGCTACACAGTAAAAGTACTTCATTTTATTTCTGGTAGAAGTCAAACTAGTAACGAGTCCAACAGAGTCAGTTTCCTTAAGAACTTGTGGTAAAACATATTTGTATCACTCGTCAAATATAGCAGGAATGAAGAGCAGCTGATTTGAAAAAACAAAGGCGAGAGATGGCGCAGTGACCGCAGTGCAGAATCGCTGTATAGTTTAAATCTCCTAACAATGTTGTCCATTTTAGACATAGGCTTATTATATTTACAGCCCTTAATAACATTCATTTTCTGGGCTCAATATGTGTCTTGGCCGTTTTCGTTGTGATCGCTAAATTCACCTTTCCCTTTGTTTATAATATTATTATGGAAGCAAACAAGAGACAGAAGTATTTGAATTTTATCAGACACCGAATTTATAGCATTGAAAATAATTACTTTGAAAATCATGTATCTGAATTTTTTTTGCTCCGAATTTACCTATGTGAAATAAAAATATAAAAATACAAGTTAAAAAAATGTGAATGTTCAAATTCAGATCCCAAAAATTCAAGTGAATACAATTCGACGTCAAATATTTCGATGTTTAAAATTCGATGTAAAAAAATTCGGTGTATAAAATTCGACGTCAAAAATTGCGATGCAGCCTCATCCGGGCTACTCAGACAGGATAAGCAATCGAGTCCGAATGCAATCAAACCGACTTCTGGCCTATCAGAGGCAAGCGGAAAACCCCGGGA